CTATGAGAAATACCCTTGATATATAGATATACATAAACATATGTATATTTTTTTATATATATATATATATAAATATAAACATACACACATTTTTTTGATATCTTTCTTTTGATATAGGATCAAGGCCTTGGTCAAGGCAAGAAACAAATGCAAAATCTGGAGGCAAAATTTTTTATGTGTTTCTAGTCCCTTAAGGAATTATTAACATGGGCAAGACCTGTTTGATCTGATGCTGATTCAATTCCCTTGAACTGAGTTGATTCTGTGCAGATTTAGACACATAAAGATTAAAGCAGAGATGTTGATAAGAGAAGAGCAAAGATGCAAATTCTGGGAAGAGAGGTTCTCAGGAATGGAATTCTGGTAGACCAGTGGTCAAATCATACCTGCTAGATTTATAGAGAAAGTAAAAGGTCTTGGGTAATGGGAACTCCTGTAGGTCCATTGATTTACACTAAGCTATGCCAGTTTACAGCAGGTGCAAATTGGTCTGGTGATTCCAGCAGCAAAAATAAGCTGGAGAGAGAAGAGAGGAGATGATGGGTGTGTAGGTTTGTCAGTAAGCATTCCCACCCATTCAGTATACACTGATTATTCATTAAACTTTGAGATAAGTACACTCGAATGTATAAGCATGCTTATTTAGTATCCTTCTAATTGTAGCAGTGGGAAATATTACACATTAACAAAAATAAACCCTCTGTGTCAAAGTGTTATAGGAACTCCTGGCTGCAGCGCATTACAGGAATGACCAAGGAGCCCAAACTAGAGCAGACAACAGGAGCATGTGACTAATAAACAACATGTCAGTACAATGAAGACTGAAATCTCTTGGTATTGGACTGTATTTGGGAGAAACTGGTAGTGAGGGGATGAAGGACACTGACTAATCAGCTGATCTGCCACAGTATATGTAATTGTGTCAAGTACTAAAGTAAATGTCAATGACATGAGGTTCTGAAGGTTACTGATAATGTTGCATTCACTGGTTGTGCTGCTCCATTTTTGCAAGGCTGATTATGGAACAGAGGTTGTCACTTTTAAGCCCCTGGTTTCCTTTGAAAATGTAAAATCACTTGGATGCCTCACCTACACTGTTTTGTCCAAGTTGCTTGAGTTGGGTTCCAGACATGGAGATAAAGGTGCTCTTTCCCTCATGGGTGGTACAGACAACATTTCTACCCACTGCAGTGTGAGGCACACATCCCAGAGGAGACTGTGCTTGGATGTCATGGAAATATCTTAATTATTTGTGTTTGCTGCTTTTGATAATTGCTGATTACTGCTGTGTGGGATTCAGGCAAACACTGGAAAATTATATTCATCATAGCCTGAGGAGATAGTGGAAACATCGCTGTGAGTTGATGGCAGTGTGAAACAGATGCTGCCACCGTTAAAATCCAGGCATAAATCACTCATATCTTCATTTTCGTCAATCATTGTCTATGAAAGAGAATATGGACAAAATTATAGGCTGGGAGTTTCATCCAAGTCTGGGACCAGCAGTGTCTGCAGCATCAGGAAAAAAAAAGGATGCTTAGATTCTTTTGGTTTAGGGAATTTTTTGACCTGAAATCTAATTTCCAGAGGACCAGAAGGAGGGGTGTGTGTTTTTGTCCAGGTGCAGAAGTTTTGGTGTGAATGTAGGAGTAAGAGAAGGGGTCAGGAGTCACATAAAGCAGGTGTGTCACGGAACTTCCCTGCTTATCAGATAGAAGAGATATGAAACTTTGGCCTAAAGGATATTCCATCAATACTCTGGAAGTATGGATGTTTTCACAAACCAGCCGCTGAAGTAGAAGAGTGAGGAGCTTTCACTTTCCTCAGGTTACTTACTTTCAACAATATAAAAATCTCAGCTAGAGAAAACTAGCTGGAAAGGTCTTTTGAAACAAGCAAAAACATGATTTGAAGTAGAGGCTTTCTCTTTTCTCCAGAAATTTTCAGCAGCATACCCAAGAGTTCTCTTCTTGGCAGAAGAAAACCTTTGGCTGCCCAAAAAGAAAAACGAAATCCCCAAACAAAAAACTATTTGACTTCTAGTCAAAAATACATTTTTTTTTCTTGAGAGTGAAAGGGAGCTGAGAAAAATGTTCACACATTTAGCAGGCTTCATTATAGTGAGCTCCCTGATTTATTGAAGTCATTATGAAGGGGATAGGGTAGATCTGCTGAAACACAGGCACAGCTTCTCCAGAGGGTACCACCTCCCACAGTTCCAGTTCAGCTACATCTTGCTCTGCTTGCTATGGGGGAGGGAGCAGATCTTGTCATGTAGAGAGAATAGAACTTACTGGAGGGTCAGAAATCTCAAAGGCTTTAGAGACTCTCTGAACATCAGTGTTTTATGGACAAGCTAACTCAACTTCTGTTCCATCTTTTGGCTGAAAAATGCTTTGATGGATAATTTTTGGTCAGACTAAATGATTAATATTTTGATCTTTTTCAGGGTTTACGTGGCTTGAAGCCATAAGTTTCTTGTGATGGAAATCCCATCAGCTTAGTGATTAGGCCTAAAGAAATTCAGTGCTCCATGAACTCCTGCTTGCCCATTCATTTAAAAGTAACTCTTGATTAATACATCTAAAAGATACATATCCAGTCCTTTGAGCATGGAACCTTGCAGTTCCCAGTTGTCCTGGTTTTATATGAGATGCAAAAATCCCCAGCAATCTCTCTTGCCATTCAAACATCTTCAGAAAGTGTTTAATCATTGGAAAGTGTGACATCCTGTGTTTTCCCCAGTGTCTTTTTACTGTGACTTTTCCCTGTAGTGACAGTTAATTCCCCACTCTGCTCTTTGGTTCTTCAAGGTGCATGGCAGATGTCTGTCACTTCCCTCAGCTTCTTTACCAGGACTTGATGTAACATTTTGTCTGAGAGAGACTGGGCAGATCTCTGAAAGCAAAAGGGGGAGTAAAATTAGGGCAGAAATAACTTCTTCATAAATAGAACCCTCGAGGTCTTTTTGTCACACTTGAATGGAATTGTTCCAGGTTCCTTCTCTGCTTTCAGTGGAGATGATCCCAGAAATCAATGCAATAATTTGAGGTATCTGTGCAGCATGTCTACACAGCCCCAGCTGGAGAATCCATACTGTGTGCTATTTAAGGCACTATGTAGACATGGACGTACGTCTGCAGAGAAGCTGTGTCTTAAATTAGTTCATTGACTTCTGGGCACTTCATTTCTGATGTGGCTGTAAAACTGCTTTCATAGCTCCCTGGTTAAGTGGATCTCTCTGCCCACTCCCGTTTCCCTGTGTAGACAAACCCTGCAAAGGATACAGGCAGCTTGGCCATATCAGGCAACAGAATTTACCCAGTTTTTCATTGCCTAAATATGCCAAATTGTTTTGAAATCCATGGGTCTCCTTTAGCCTTGATGTACTCAGTGAAGAATCCTTTGAAATCCATGTATTTACACTGATGGAATTAAGAAGCTCTTATCACCTCCAAGGTGGTGTTAGTGCTCTCTGATACCGTGTGGCCCATTGCTACTGTTCATTTTTGCAATTATGTTTGGATTTCAATCCACTTATTATGTCCAAATTATATTTCAAGCATAATTTTTTGCTTCTGTTAAGTGCTTTGCTGAGAATCGCCTACACTGCATCTCCTGCCTCCTTATGCCCATTCATTTTGTTCTTCATGTCAGAATATATAATCAAATCTTTCTAACATGGATTTCGAGGTTTGGGGCTTTTTCTCCTCTGAAGTAAAACAGTGCTACAAGTACCACTGCATTATCTCAGAGGTAGATTCTCTTGTGGTCCTTCTGGATTCAAAGGGAGCTGCACAGTGTGACCAAGGGCAGTTATATCCTCACACTTTGCAGGTTTCCTTTGATTATTGTCTTCCATTGAGAACATAGAGGCAGGACTTGCCCAGCTTGCTTCTTTCATATTTGGAAGGGCTGGTATTGCACTTGATGCTCAGATCTCCTAACCTTTTTCACAGTCTCTCTGTGATGCTTTCAAAATAATGCTGTAGGTGTCTGACAACTCCATGGGCCTTCTGTGATGCAGGCAGGCTGGAAATAGAATCACAAATTTGTGTTGGTGTGAGGCAGCCAAATGGTCCCTGATAGATTTGGGGACCCTGGAAACACTGGAAAATAGTCATCCCCTGTAAACATCCTGTTCTGCAGTGCCTCGCTGAAAATGCTGCACTTGGATGCTATTTCATAAAATCACACGGCTGCACAGTCACAAATCCGTGAAATTCCCATCCCTGAAAATGTCTTGGTAGTGCTAAACTTGGAATCAAATTAGGTCATATTTAACAGGAGCTTTCCAGCTGTATGTCCCATATAAACCTTTGAAAATGTAAGGGCAAGGTGGTGTGTGTTGGTGTGGGAGTTTGATGGATAAGGATGGGAGCTGCCCGAAAGAGAAATAACGTTGAGATGGAGAAAAATCCCCAGTGAGATTACGGAGGTTCAGATTGGACATTAGGGAAAAAAAAAAAAGAAGTCACTGTGTGGGTAGTCTAGCACTGGAATGAGTCATCTGGAGAGGTATTGGAAATTCTAGCCTTTGAAATTCCCAAGATTAGGCTAGATGAAGCTGCAGGTACCTGATCTAGCGTTGATAATGAAGTTCCTCTAAGCAGAAGGTTGGTCTAGATGACCTCTTGTCGTGGTTTAGCCTCAGTAGCCACAGGGCCACTCACTCCCCCACAGTGGGTGGGGGAGAGAATTGGAGGGTAAAAGTGAGAAAACTCGTGGGCTGCAAGCAAAGCAAGGGATTCATTCACTGCTTCCCATGGGCAGGCAAGTGTTCGACCACCTCCGGGAGAGCACGGCTCTGTCAGGCATTACAGTGACTTGGAAAACAAACATATTCAGTCCAAACATCCCCACTTCCTCCTCCTCCTCCAGGCTTTTATTGCTGAGCACGGTGAGATCATAGAATCATGGAATCATAGAATATCCTGAGTTGGAAGGGATCCACTAGGATCATCAAAGTTTGACTCCTGACCCTGCACAGGACAGCGAGTGTGATATGGTATGAGATATCCCTGTGATCAGCTGGGGTCAGCTGTCCCAGCTGTGTCCCCTCCCAACTCCCTGTGCACCGCCAGCCCCTCACTGGTGGGGTGGGTGGGAGGCAGAAGAGGCCTTTGCTCTGTGCAAGGTCTGCTCAGCAAGAACTAAAACCTCCCTGTGTCATCAATTCTGTTCCCAGCACAAATTCAAAACATAGCACCATAGCAGCTACTGTGAAGACAATTAACCCAGCCAAAACTCATTCAGCTCCAGGTAACATTTTTGTGTTGGGAATAGGTGCTACGTGAGTGAAAAGGCATGGGAGAGAGCAAGACATTGCAAGTTCTTCTGAGGCGTGGAGCTGCGTCTTGCAGCTCAGAAATCACCTTGCCTATCCTCTGCATGCCAGGAACAAAGCAAGCTCTGCAGATGATTTGCAGGGGAAAGATTACACTGTGGGATCTGTCAGGGTTGGAGGGGCAGGTGAACGCTGAGGACTTCAGTGCTGTACATCATGTTCTTCTGGTGCAGAGAGGCTTGGGTTGTACAAACTACTTCAGCCTCGGCTTTGCATTCTTTGTCTGTCAGCCCTCGGAATGTTTTGATGTGTTGAACATGGTGCAGGAATTTTGCCTACCCATTTTCTGTGTCTTTGTTTACAATTTGTTGCTGCCTGCTGTGCTTGGTGTCATAATCCTGAGGGCACTAGTAGGACTTAATTAATCTGATCACTTGAGGCTTCCACAACACACCAGATATGCACTGACAGCTCACCTGAAGCTCTGGCAGGGGGCACTTAGGCCCAGTCTGACTTGTGTTGAAGGTATGCTTGTACCTAGGCTTGTCTTTTGCTGTCCTGGTTTACTGACTGACTCTCCTGAGTAGAATTTTAATATATGCTGTAGGTAGCTTCGTCTGTTTTAAGCACAGGAGTGCTCAGAGAAATGGGGTATTTTCATGTGGATATTTTCATGCTTGTTAACTTCTATCAAGATGCAGAAGGGGAGACCTGTAATAAAATGAGATGTAACTCTTTAGTTCAGAGGCACAGTGTCCTCATTGCTTCATTCAGTGTGATTGTGCTTTATGTTCAAGAAGCTGGTAGGCAAGGGAGGATTTTCTGGTTAATGTTGCATAGCATCCTGCTTTTTAGCCACCTCTCTGTGGTTGGAGATGGGTGTTCAGTCCTTTGGGCTGTACTCTAAAGCTCGCTGAAGTCACCCAAATCTTAGTCATTGTCTTCAGTGGAACTGAAATGCACAGTCAGGAGAGGCAACTTGGTTTTGTTTGCAGTAAGTGGGACTGCCCAAACAGTGTGAGAAGCTTGGGTTGCACTTCAATTCACAAAACAATTCATATTGTTACATAAACGGTGCCTGAGCAGGAGATTCCTGAGGAAGACTTGGAAGGAAGAGGTCACGGTATTTCTGGCTCTGGTTCATCAGATGCACTGTGACTGCATCTGTGCATTGCAATGGTACCAGAAAACAGTGTAAGATTTGTGTCATCAATGTAGTTTTGGGTCAAAATAAAAGAGGACTGCTAATCACAAGAAGCCAAAGCCTTCAAGTCAGAGTAGCTAAGTCCACTGCGGGCATCTATGCCCCCTTATTTAAATGTGCCCCTCCCTCCTCCCTGATACCATTTTTTCAGTGGTGTATTCCACTTCCATATTTAAAGTACTTTTTCCCCTGCTAGCTTACCTAAGCAGCTGTCAGCTTACCCGAGGGGTCCCTGGGTTTCTGGAGCGGGTGAAATGGCAGCTACTTGCAGTACATGAAGCACTGTGAGTTACTTCAAGGTGAAAAGCTCTGCAGAGACAGTAATTTCTGTGTCTGCTGGGTGTTCTTCAGCCTGCAGAGGGTCTCTGTTCTTTGATTTCACTGCCCCTGAGGACACAGGAGCCTTGTGGCTTTGGGGGGAGGACAACAGGATAGTTTTTCTACCCATGTGGGTCCCTGGAGCCCTGGAAAAGAGGCCAGCTTTGCTCTGCTGAGCAAGAGGAGGAACATCTGCTTCTGGCCTACAGGCCTAGAAAATATGACAGTCCCCTCCCAGGCTGAGCTGGTCTTGTCTGCAGTGCTGTTCTCCAACACAGAGCTTCCATGGCACACTGGCTTTGTAGCCATGGTGGTAAACATAGCTAAGTTCAACCTGCTGGTCAGGACATTCTCATTTGGGGGAAGTGTTTGCTACAGCGTTGGAAATTAGGCTTTCCGTCTCCCAGTAACACCCTCAGGAGATGTTGTCCCCACCCTTCCCTGCTCGGCTTTGGAGGCCTTATGCTGAGGTGTCATCAATCTTAAGAATACTTCAACATAAAAGATGTTTTTGTTTTATCTTGCTATATTTAGGCCTCACGTACAATAGGAATACTAAACTTGGAATGTTTAGAGCATACGGGGGTGTTGATATCTTATATTTAGCTTGATCTGTCAGTTATACAAGCATCTGTCACAGACTAGCAGATGGCAGAAAGCCCTAATAGGGTTCAGAGGGAAAAGAACCAAGATCTTGGTTATTGGGGACAGGGTATGCTTAGGAGGGAAACATGCTCCTAAAACATATGCCAGTTTTCTGCACGAGAGAAAGAGCTGAATTCTGATGTGGTATGATCAGCATGGGTCTAGGATAGTGATTATAATAATTTAATGTTTGAAAGCTGAGATGGCTCCAGAAGGACACTTGAGCTCGGGTACCTTTTTTTTGGGGGGGTAGTATAAAGGTACATGAAGACATGGTCCTTAGTCCAGGGAGATCTGCAGCCTCTTGGCTAAGTGTATATTGCTTTGAGGCTCCAGCTGTTAGAGAGGAGTTAAAAGAAGTATTTGGCTGAGAATGTGGCTTCACAGCCAGCTTACCCTGACTGAGTTATGATCTGCTGCCAAAAGGAGCAGTTCTGCCTGCTCTCAGCTAATGTTCCCAACAAGCCCATGTCTACTTGGGTGTTCTTGAAGTTGTGCTGTGAGTCAGATTGGCCCCCTGAGCTTGGCTGAAAACTGGTTTCCAGCTTCATCATTCTTTAGATCCGGTTGCTACACAGAACATTAGTGGCAGTGGTGGAAAATGGGGGAGTGGGAGAGGAACGGGTACCAAAAGGTATAGGCAGGGCAAAAAGTGAAGAGTGTTCCTTTAAGTGACAGCAAAGTCTCACATGGGTCTCCCATAGCATTCTCCTGGGGGTGCTGGTTGCCAGTGGCTGAACAGCCAGCATGTGTCCAGGGGGGCAAGAGGCCAATGGAACCTGGCTTGGACCAGCAATAACGTGGCAGCAGGACCAGGGCAGGGATCGTCCCCCTGTGCTGGGCACTGGCGAGGCCACACCTCAAATCCTGTGTCCAGTTCTGGGCCCCTCACTGCAAGAAAGACACTGAGGTGCTGGAGCGTGTCCAGAGAGGGGCTATGGAGCTGGGGAAGGGTCTACAGAGTAAATAATAGGAGGAGCAGCTGAAGGAGCTGGTGTTGTTCAGCCTGAAGAACAGGAGGCTCAGGGGGGACCTCCTCACTCTCTACAACTCCCTGACAGGAGGTTGTAACCAGGTGGGGGTCGGGCTCTGCTCCCAGGGAACAAGGGACAGGACAAGAGGAAATGGCCTCAAGCTGTGCCAGGGGAGGTTCAGGTTGGACATGAGGAAGAATTTCTTACTGAAAGAGTGGTCAGGCATTGGAAGGGGCTGCCCAGGGAGATGGTGGAGTCCCCATCCCTGGAGGTGTTCAAGAAATGAGTGGACGTGGCACTCAGTGCTCTGGTCTGGGTGACAAGGTGGTGTTTGGTCAAAGGTTGGACTCGATGATTCTGGAGGTCTTTTCCAACCTTAATGATTCTGTGATTCCATTCGGTGATTCTGAAGGTCACTGAGACCTTGCCTTGAAAGTACTTCACTGTGATAGCTGCTGGGAGGCTCCAGCTGCAGCCCCTGCTGGGAGGTGTGGGGCCAGAGCTTGCAGGATGTGCTCTGCTCCATTCTGTGGGGCAGCTTGCCTTGCTCTAACAGAAAGTAGTCACTGTCAAAGGAATGCTTTCCCCACTTCACATGAAGATGTATTAAGTGATTCATTGTGGTCGTTTTACTTTTTCACTAATATGCACTTGCTTATACAGACTCCTTGTCTCATCAATTAAGATAAATTATGAATTAAGTTGAATTGGCTGAAAATGGCCCATTTTTAGAGACTGTACATGGTGGTTTTTCTTCCCCAAGAAAATTCTTTCATTTTTTTTTGCTCAAAAGCAAGCAAACGAAATCCCCATGATAAATTTATTGATGTAGCAGATGTAGTATGTAGTCAAGAGGCAGTAAAATCGACCCCTTCTGAAATGTTGAGGCCAGGCTGTCCAAATCACTATTTCCCTCTGCTGTCAGTGCTGAACCAGAGGAGGCCACCAAGTTGATCAGAGGGATGGAGCAGTTGGGCTCTGAGGAAAGACTGAGAGAATTGGGATTGTTCAGCCTGGAGAAGAGAAGGTTTCAGGGTGACTCAGTTGGGGCTTTCCAGTACCTGAAGAGAGCCCACAAGGAAGATGGAAAGAGGCTTTTCCCAAGGGCCTGGAGTGACAGAAAAAGGGGGAATGACTTCAAACTGACAGAGAGCAGGTTTAGATTGGATATTAGGGAGAAACTCTTCCCTGTGAGGTTGGTGAGGCCCCGGCACAGGTTACCCAGAGAAGCTGTGGCTGCCCCATCCCTGGGAGTGTTGAAGGCCAGGTTGGATGGGGCTCTGAGCAACCTGGGATAGTGGAAGGTGTCCCTGCCCACCCCAACATGGTGATCTTTAAGATCCCTTCTAAACCAAACCATTCTGTGATTCCACGCACAGCTCATGCTCGTCCACAGTTCTGCTGGAAAAAGGGAATTGGTGGATGTGTACAGCGGTAGAAGGATGTACCATTTGCAAGTTGCTGAGACAAGCTTAAGAACTGAGAGAGGTGGGGAGGAGAAGAAAGGCTAAAGAAGTCCTAAAGCTTTCTGTGTACCTGCTTACTTTAAATGTGTGGTGGGAAATGAAACATCTTTAAACAAACAACTTTGCAACCAATAGAAGTGAACCAGTGACTATCATTTTCATAGAAATGCTTCATTTCCTATCTGGCTTGTCTCCAGCACTTAATCAGGGCTCTCTTGGCAAGGCTGGGTTTGCAGTTAGTGTGAATGCATCACAGAAGCAATTTTGGGTTTACTGCATACTTTCTGTGCAGGGATCTAGGTGGGAAGGGGCTTTCTTTTCTATTGACGGCAGCACTGCTTTTCTGTGCTTAAGTTAGTGGGAACCTCCTGAATCCCAGGAGTAGTTTTAGCCCCTCAGAGGTAATTGAACTTTTATGCAAGTCCCAGCTGTGGTTTCGAGAGCAACTTTTCTCCTAAGGAGTTGACAGAAGCTTTAGCTGCTTACCAGTGAGGGTAGAAATTGTTCTGGCATGCAGGCTGGACTTGCAGTGAGCTGTGTGGAAGATAAAATTTGATGCTGGTGGAGGTTCTTCCACGAAGAAGTAAAGTTTTCCACTGATTTGCTTGGGAGGACCTAATGCAGAGCCCTTTCACATTTTAATAAGCTTTGGAATGAAAAATGATTCATCAAGCTTTCTTGCTGCCAGTCAGGTAATAATCCCTCTTAGATAATGCTGAGTGGTTCTTCTGGTGCAAACAGAAAACAGGGCAGCACTTCACTCTCCATGCTCTGATGCATGAAGCTGTCTTCTTTGTTGGTAATCAATAATGCTGCAGAAATAGCTGTGCCATTGGTTGTAGCTTCATCTTGCAAAAAATGAATAATTTCCTGGCAGCAACTGATTGGGTGCACATTTCCAAGTGGACTTGAAGAAATGGATCTATTTAAACTGAGAGAATCTGCTAATTCAGGTACCTGAGAAAAATATTTAGAACATATTTTTGGTCTGGACTTGTACGTAAAAAAACCTCCCCAATGAACAAACAAAAACCAACCACCCCCCCAGAAAAACCCCAACAACCAAACACAAAAAAGTGTTCTTTGTTAATAACAGCAATCAAAATATCCAACTATTCAACATTTTCTTTGTTTTCACTGGGTTTGCCTCCTCAACTGATAGAACACTTTTTTTCATCCAGAATATCTTCTTACTGAAAAAAAAAACATTTTTAGCTGACCTCAAACAGTTCAGCTAAAGGAATGTTAATAAAAGAAAATATTAATAATCCTTACACTGAATAGACTTCAACTGGAATATTATTACAAGATGCAGTAGCTCAGCCTAAGGACAAGAAGACATATTTATTTTTTAGCTGATTCAAATATTGGAGATCAGTTACATCCAAATGCTTTGAGGAAAATTAATCAAGTAATGGGGGATGGGGGCAGTCAGGGAGAAATCTGATTGTATTTTGAACTCCAGACCATCTGCTTTCTAAAAAGGAATAGCTCTTAAATGGAAGAAAGCTTTTCTTAATTATTTAATTTTCTATATACTTTTTTGTTTCTACATTGGCCTACAACACTATGTCCTTATCAGCATGTAGAATTCCTTGTTTTCCTGAGAATAAAATTATTGTTTTCTTGCTCTATGCCTTTATGTCATACATTTTTATTTCTGTGGAGGGAAAAGTAGTCACTTTTGGGGAAGTTCAAACTGAAGAATGTCATTTACATGGCAATGAAGTCCTCAAATTACCAATGTAGTGTTGTTGGGGGCTCTCTGTATGGCTGGATCTCGTGTTCTCCCCTTTGGAACACAGGGGGGATGCCAGACACTTGTCAGCTTTCTTTTCTTAGAAAGAGTATCATCACACTCTTCCCACTCCCTTACACTAGCAGGCAAGAAGAAGGAAGCCAGGAAGCTGCAGACTGGCCATGCTTACCTTGATGTGTGGAGAAGTGATGGAAAAACTCATCCTGGAAGCTATTTGCAGGCACAGGGAGGTGATCCAGAGTAGGCTGCATGGATTAATGAAAGAGATGCTGTGCTTGACCAACCCTGACAGCCTTCTGTGGTGAAATAACCAGACTGGGACCTGAGGGGAAAGCAGTGGACATTGTCTGCCTAGGCTTCAGTAAGGCTTTTAAAGCTGCTTCCCTCACAGTGAAGCTGATGGAGGGTGGGTTGGATGAGTAGACTGAGAACAGGCTGAAGGGGGTGGTCAGTGGCATGAAGTGTCTAATTGGAGGCCAGTAACTGGCAGTAACTGGGTCCAGTCCTGTCCAACATCTTCATTAATGATCTGCATGATGGGGCAGAGTATTCCCACCGCAGACACAAAACTGGGAGTAGCAGCTGATGGGCTTGGGGGTTGTGCTCCCATCCAGGGGGACTTGGGCAGGCCGGAGAAATGGGCTGACAGGAACCTCATGGAGTTCCTCCAGTAAGGAGAAGTGCCAAGTCCTGCAGATCTGGGAAGGGACAACCCCATGCACCAATATTTGCTGGGGACTGACTGGCTGGAAAGTAGCTTGGCAGAAAAGGACCTGCCAGACACCAGAATGAACATGAGCCAACAGCAGCAAAGAAGGCTAAAAGTATCCTGAGCTGTATTCAGAGGATCATTGTCAGCAAATCAAGGAAGGGGATCCTTTCCCTTTGTTTAGCACTGGTGAGGCCACACCTGTAATATCGTCTCCAGTTCTGGGAACCCAGTACAAGAAAGACATGGATGTGCTGGAGACAGTCTGATGAAGGGATTGGAGCATCTCTCCCGTGAGGAAAAGCCGAGAGTGTTGTAACTCTTGAGAGGTCTTGGGGATTCTTACCAATGCCATAGGAGGGGTAAAGTAGATGGAGCCAGCCCCGTGGGAGAACCAGAGACAGTGGGCACAAACTGGAACACAAAGTTTTCCCTGAACATCAGGAAAACTGGTGTGCTGGTTTTTTTTGTTTGTTTTGTTTTTTTTTTTAGTATGAGGGTGACTGAGCACTGCCACAGGTTGCCCAGGGAGGTTTTGGAGTTTTCATCATTGGACATGGTCTAGGGCAGCCAGCTGTAGCTGGCCCTACTTGAGCAGGGGAATTGGACCAGATGACCTCCAGAGGTCCCTGTTAACTTCAACCAGTCTGTGATTGGTAGTGAAAATAACCCACTGGGTTCCTTCTCAGTGCATTGAGATAGGTTCCGACCTGGAATAAGCTTCTGCTAAAGGTGACTGTTTGGGTATTTAAGTCTTGAATTTCCTCAGAATTTCCCTGTACAGCTCTGCAGAACAGAAGTTTGAAACTCTTGTGCCACTCTGTCATTGTCACTGATGAAAGTTCAAGGAATATAGTGGAAATATTGACAGGAATCACCATTTTATAAGTAACAACATGACCTATATTCCTGTAGTAGTTATCTCTTTTCTTACTTTTAAGAAAAGATGAGTGTGTAGACTGCTTTTTATATTGGATAAACACAAGTACCTGCCTCCAGGAGAACAACAGAGTTTGTGTCTGTAGCTTTTTACTTCAGGCTTGGGCTTTTCAATTACTGTTTGCTGTTGCTCTTTAGCAAATGGAAAGTGCTGTGTGGGGAATTCTGCTTGGTCCAGTTGAGGCTGAGGATTGACTGTCCTGCCTTATGGCTTCATACCCACAGCTTTTTAGCAGCTGATATAGATATGCTTTAGGGAAACATACAGAATTACAGCATTTCATTAGTTTGGGATTGGAAAGACCTGGTTACTTTGGAGAACCTTATCTCCCAGACAATATGATCTCTGTGTGTCCCAGTCTATCTCCCACCCACATAATGAGATTATCATTCCTTCTAGGGCATTCTTCAGACTTTTTTAGTAGTTGATGTGGTATTGCTTCTATCCTTTCCCCTTTCAAGAGAGTATTTTCCAGCTCTTGCCATTAGGGCATTTCTGATGACACTTGTGTCATTTTCTTTTTGCACCTAAATCCATTAGTTTTAGTTGTAGACTCCCACTTTATTCTCCATCCTGTGTCTGTCCTATGAGAATGCCAGATTCCTGGAGATGGTTGCAGTTCTTGTTCCTCATCACTTGATAGTCTGCCTGTCTAATGATGCAAGATATAGATAGTGGTGGTTATAGCTTAGTATCTTTCTGGTATTTTCTATTTACAGAACTGATTATGTTATGGTACCCTCCTGTATAACCTGGCCTAGGACTCTTTTGATGGTAATATCATCAAACTGGTTGCTCTATGTATTTCTTATAATTACCTAATAATAGAATCATAGAATCATAGAATAGCCCGGGTTGGAATGGACCTTAAAGATCACCTCGTTCCAACCCCCCTGCCATAGGCAGGGACACCTTCCACTAGACCAGGTTGCTGCCAACAAAATGTCCTTTATAGACATCTATAAGCACTTCACTTGACTCCCTTTAAGTGACCTTTACAATCAGTTGAGAGGAAAAGGAATTGCTGGGTGACAACCTTAAATGTTGCCCTGACAATAAGCGGATTGCAGAAATACCTGTTTGACTCTAGTGACTGTAATGGGAGTTCAGATGACCGGTTGAGATGTTCTAGTGAGCCCATAGGTTGCTAGAGATAACCAGGGTAAATCTTATCCCCAGCTTCTAAAACCTGTTAGAGATTAGATATAGGTCTGATGCAAATTTTCAGCCTAATAAAGAATGACAGTGACTTTGAGCAGGCCCAGATGACCCGTTAAGTACCTGGGAAGCTGTAGAGCACACACGTGAAACATCTATAAAAGAGCCTTCCATTCAGTTGATGTGGTGGCATTTCAGAACCATATTTTGCAGTTTAGGCTTTTTTTTTTTTAGTCTCTCTGTAAGCATCAGAGTTCTTTTTGGCTCATGCTTAATGGTTCATTGCTAACTTAAACAGATGTATGAATGCATTTCTACATGGAGTCTCGTAAGGATAAATCTTCTAAGTGATAGGTGCTGAAGTGCTCAGTTACTGCTTTAGCTGAGGCCACAGAAGGACCTGAGATGGAGTGGGTGGTGAGATGGAGAGAGTAACATGGTTTTCTCTGTTCTCTAATTCCCTTATCATAAGTTGTGTTAATATTAGCTCTCACATTTTGCATGATTCAGGAGAATGTTGTAGAGGTAAACATGGGCTACTAGTCAAGCACAAGTGCAGCAAGAGAAAGGATGAAAAGAAAATGTGGAGGAAAGCAGAGTAGACTCAAATAGGGGTAGTAGAAGGGAGGGGTAAGACTGTGCTTTTCAATGACCTTCCAGTGATCCCCATGGAAATGAGCCCAGCAAATTAAAAAATCAGAAGGCTGAGCTATGTGCTCTATCAAAAACACACCAGATTGAGGTGGAAGAGAGCACTTCTTAAAAAATGAGTCAGATGAGTATTTTTGTCAAAGATAGGGAGGTGGGAGGGAAGTCCACTAATGCTTTGCAATTTAGTAGTAACAAGCACCCACAGGAGCAGAATGTGTGTGTGTGCCACTGTACTTGAGAAGGAATATAGATGCATGTAGATATGTGTGTACCTTATGTGTGTAATGGAGGGTTTGTATCTCTGAGCACTGTTTGTGGGAAGGGGTTGTTGTTCTGGTGCCTATGAATGAGCCAGTTGGCTTCCTAACCCTCTCAGGTGTATTTTTATTCTCCTGCCATTTGGAGCATGATGCCTGGTGATCACCAAGCTATGCAAGTGTGTGAGGTGGGCTCACTGTAGATGAAGACATTAGGATAACTGCTTGCTAATCTCATAACAAAGGATTTGGATATCATTAAAAAAAACATTTGAGTAAGTGTAGTCCATATGCACCATCATAGCCACTAAGGTTAATCTCAAGTTCTTAATGCTGATCAAAATCCAATCCAAGCAGCTCTGCAAGTTGTACGAGTGTTGGATGTGATTTGACAACCAGGGAGACACTCCTTAACATGACAAACAACACTTACTGGAATTTCTGGATATGTGAAATGAGTTTCCAGCAAAGAGATTTGTGTGCTGTCAGTCCCTATTACTAAAACACATACAAAACACGAATGCAGACACCCACTTCCCCAATCTTTTTAATGCCCTACAGAAAAATCAGCATTTCTTTGACATTCAGAGAATCACAGGATGGTTTGGTTTGGAAGGGACCTTAAAGACCATCTTATTCCAACTCCCTGCCATGGACAGGGACACCTTCCACTCTCCCAGGCTGCTCAGAGCCCCATCCAACCTGGCCTTGAACACTTCCAGGGATGGGGCAGCCACAGCTTCTCTGGGCAACCTGTGCCAGGGCCTCACCACCCTCCCAGGGAAGAATTCCTTCCTAATATCCAATCTGAACCTTCTCTCTGTCTGTTTGAAGCCATTCCCCCTTGTCCTGTCACTCCAGGCCCTTGGAAATAGTCTCTCCCCATCTACCTTGTGGACTCCCTTCAGGTCCTGGAAGGCCACCATTAGGTCACCCCAAAGCTTCTCTTCTCCAGGCTGAACAATCCCAACTCTCTCAGCCTTTCCTCACAGCAGAGCTGCTCCATCCCTCTGATCATCTTGGTGTCTCTTCTGAATTCACTCCAACAGCTCCATGTCCTTGCTGTGCTGGGCCCCCAGAGCTGGAGGCAGCACAGCAGGGGGGTCTCAGCAGATTCCCAATCTCTGGCTGAAGTACTTCCCACGTACTTGCTTCAGTGGGAGCTTTTTTTCCTGGAGGACTGTTTCCTTCTTATGGCATCTGTGAAAATAAACATTTGTCCTCACACCTCACGCTGTTCAAGGTATATCAGAAACTGCTGTGGAGCTGGTTGGGTGGCTTGGTTTTTTCCCTCTCTATCCTGGGGAAAAGGAGGGAATAAATCAACAGATGTCTTATAGAATAAATAAAATGGGGTTTTTAGATAGTAGGAAAAGCTGCTGTCCCCCACTGATGCACAGAGGTAGCACACAAGTGTGGAAGGCTGAGAAGGTGAGGTACTGATGGTTGGTTGGAAGTTGTGCTCTTTTGTCTGAGAAAGAGAGTCTTGGTCTTTAACTGTGATGTGTCCCCACCTCTGCATCTTTCTGATGTCTTAGGATAAGTGCTTAAAAATCCTAATGCTTATA